TTAATCTATTCATTCAGTAAACAGAGTCCACAATGGGTATGCAATATATTTAGTGGAAGTATTTTCCGATTGACTAGAACAGTAGTCAGTGGTCAGCCAATGGCAAGGGCTAGCTAGGAAACATTCTATACTGCAGAATGCAGGGTTTCTGCAAAAACTATCCAGTTCTGCCTTTGTAACATGGAAGCTCCCATACATAGTACAAATTAATGTTTCACTCTTTTCCTATAAAATTCATTTACAAAATCAGTGAAGGAATCATAGTTGCTAACTTCAAACCTAAAAAGTTACAGAAATAAAAGTTGTGTGATGCTAGCATATGAATATGCATATAGATCAATGGACTCAACTTCGATGTCCAGAAATAAAGCCAGATCTCTAAAGTCAGTTGTATATCTATATGCAAAATAATTAATATGTGCTTTTCCCCCCACAGCATATACAAACATACATTTGAAAGAAATCAAGGACCTAAATAAAGGAGTTAAAACTATAAAATTTATTCAAAGAAAATACAGGTGTAAATATTTGAGTTTATGTCAAATAGACAACAGTTTCTTAGATATGACAGATAAAAGCAGAGTCCACCAAAGAAGGAAAGGGGGACTCCATCAAAATTGAAAATTCCTATGTCTCAAAGGATACTATCAGCAAGATTAAAAGGCAACTTACAGAATGAGAGAAAATGTTTGCAAATCATGGATCATATGAGGCTCTACAGTATCCAGGATATATAACAAACACTCTAATGCAGCAATAAAAAGCTGGAAATTCCAATTACAGATGGGGCAAAGGATTTGAAGAGGCATTTTTCTTAAGACAATACACAGACAGAAGGCTTCTAAGCACTTGTATGGATGTTTTACATCAGTAGTTACTACAGAAATGAATAGAAACCACCTTGAGATGTGGTTAAGAATCTATTAGGAGGTGAGAACAAAAGGAGGCATGCCACACTGCTGACTGGACTGGAAAATGGTACAGCCACTGCAGAATACCACTTTGTAGTCCCTCAGAGTATCAAATACAGGTTTACTACAGGCTCAGCCATTCCATCTCTAGATATATAACCAAGAGAAAAGAAAACACGTGTAGGCAAAGACTCATGTAGCAACATACTCAGAGGCAAAATCTGCAAAAGCAAACAGTTAAAAGAACAGGAATACCCATGTAAATGACACATCATGTATATAAATGTAACAATAATAATTAAAGAAGACCACATGAAATTGAGATGGAATGAGGGGGGAACATAGGAGGAGTTAGAGGGGAAGAGGGAGGGGTAGAGATTTTATATAGTACTCATACATGAAATTCTCCAAAATAGTTAAAATTTTAAATTATATAAGAAAACTGTTAAACAGATACACTCCATAGCATGGCTGATCCTTCCAAAGATGCTAACTGGAAAATCCAGTTCCATAAGATCACATGAGGCATTAGCTAATAGAGGTTAGCCTGCATGCTTTGAAAGGATGAACGTTGTGCTTAATGATCTGGAAATTTCCATAGGGAAAGAAGCTAGGGAGAAGGGAGGATGAAGAGAGACCATTGAGCCAAGATTTGTTCAGAAGCTTCATCTGTTTGTCAACCGCTGGTCTAGATAGCACATCCATATTGGAGATGGACAGGACAAAGGCTTCCAGCTAGCTGGAAAGACACAGGTCTCCATTTGAATGTGGACCACATAAAAGGTAGGGATTAAGACTCATAGCTGCTTCAGAGAATGACTGAGCTGGAAGTGTGTGGGAGGGGAGTTGAAGATCTTTAAATGAAATAGAAGAGACTATATTACTTTCTAGGGGGAATTATGAGAGATAATTGAATCAGTAGGGTTTTTGCTTCTTTTTAATGGCATGTTATTGGAAGTGTATTTTATAATAGTGATTTGGACTACCAGGTTGATGGCAGTATGGGCATCTGGGAGGCTGGAGGCAGAGACACCATGAGGAGGCTGATGGAAGACTCCAAGAAGGAAGTAGAGGAACGGAAAAAGGATAATCCAGTCAATGGAACTGGACTTCAGACAACTATGGATTTCTACTCTATTAATGCCTGAAATCTGTAGTTCAAGTCCATTCCCAGCCTAGGCTCATTTCTGGTCCTCTTCCTCACGGTCTCACTGCTCAGGTCAGTCAAGGTGGGAATGGAGAAGCAGAAGTCTTCATCACCTCTTTGAGTAACAAATACATAATCCTGTGCTGGGCACTTTGCTACCTTTTCAAAGTGGCCAACAGGGTTTAGACAGAGCTTCCTTGTGACAGGTGGCAGCTCATAAGTTGTGCCAATTTGATTACTTCATCTTGCTGACTCCAAGTTTCTCTCAGATAACCATTCATATAACAATAAAGTTGAGGAAATAAATTGGATCATATGCCTAACACACCTACTGGAGTAACTAGAGCAGGGGCTGATTAATAAAATATAATCACTACAATCACTTCAAAATATTTATATTTTATCCCAGTTCCTTAAGACAGACAGACCTGACTAATAGTTATATTATCTAGTACACATTGGGAAACCTGCTTCAAAAAGAAGTAACACAGCTTAAAGTTTATTTTAAAAAATTAGTAGCAGAGGTAAAGCAGAATGTGTACCTCGTAAATCTTAACATTGTTTGCAATCTATTGAACCTGATAAGGTTGCACAGATTGTGACATATTTCTTGTAAATCTTAAATGTGCTTGATATCTATGGATCCTGATAATTTTGGGCCCTTTTAGAAATGGAAAGCTGTGGTTCCTATAGAACTCTCCCCACACCTCCCGGTTCTGCAGGTGCCTGTGCAAGCTCTTGCAGTGACCGTGTGTACCTTATGGGACTGTTGGCAGCATCAGGATCTTTGGCATGCACTCTTCCAACCACAGTTCCAGCAGCTGCATTTTCTTGGACTTCATGGATATAACTTGGGGCCAAGAACATCGGGGGCTCATCAGCATCTTCTACTGCGATCTTGACTGTCACAGTGTCCTTGAAAGGTCCATTGCTGATGAACTTCGGATCGATGTGCACGTTAGCAGCCTCAACCTTCAAGCTATATGCTCTTTTGTTTTCAAAATCTACAGGCTGGTAAGAACGAAGAGAAGATTGACTACCAGATCCTTGAAAGAACAATGGAAGATAAGACCTGATTGCTTTTAGGGCACAACAAATAGTTCCCCAAAGAAAATCTGTGCCCATTCAGTATCCAGTTATATGAGCAATTTGGTCAGAAAATAAAAGAAATCCACTGCTCAAATGTGGGGTGTCCTCAAAGGGTAATTCTAGTATGGCAGACTTAGAGCCACCACCCCATCTAGAGCCAATCTCATTCTATATAACACCCCCAAAGTTGCCCAAGTCATCACTAAAAACCACCTAAGGAAGGGAACTAATGTATTTTTATGGCCCATTTTGTAAAACTATTAGGAATCTTGTTAATAAAAACATCCATTAAATCTTAGTCAAGTTATAAAGCTATGTTTTAGTTAATGATTACCCCATGTTTCTTGCCACACATGACGGCTCCAAGTCCATCAAAAGAAAAACTTCATTTTTTACCTGTTAGTTTTTAATATTTTATTAATTATTTTTATTATTTTGTGTGTGAGTACATTGCCTGCACGTACGTAAGTGCACTCGTGTCATGTAATGCCCACAGAAGTCAGAAGGGGGTGTCTGATCCCCTGGAACTAGAGTTACAGACAGTTCTTAGCTGCAATGTGGGTGTTAAGAATTGAACCTGTGTCCTCTGAAGAACAGCCAGTGCTCTTAACTGCTGAGTCATTTCTCTAACCCCCCAAAAGCTTCATTTTTTCAGCTACTGACTATATTGTTTCCCAAAGGCTGAGATCTTAACCTGCACATGCGTAAGATTATTTCACAGTTTATGGACAGATTTTGGTAGAGGATGTTATTACATAACATAAAGTTACATTTTTCTTTTTCATATGTATGTGTGTTTGGTGTGTATTTATGCACGTGTGCATATACACACATATGTGGGGCATATGTACTTGTGTGGACATGCATTTGGAGGGTTGAGGTTGATCTTGAGAGTCTTCCTTGATGGATCTCCACTTTATACATTGAGGTAGGGTCTCTCAGGTGAACCCAGAACTCACCTATACAGCTAGGCTAACTGGTCAGGTTGCTCTAAGCATTCTCACTAGCCTTGCTAGTGCTGAAATTACAGGTAGTCTGCCTTGCTAACCTGCCATGTATGTGGTATCTAGGATGCCAAACTCTGGTCCTCATGCCTACTGTTTCCACAGCAACTGCTTTAGCCATTGAGCCATCTTACCAGCCCAACACACTTAATAACAGAATTATTCCTTTTCCAATTTTTGAGGCCTGAATATCTCAAAACAGTGCTAAGTTTTAAGCTTATGTGTTATGTTCCCAATGTCCCTTTAGGGAAACGATGACACTACTTTCTAGCAAAAAATGTCATGACATATTTTGTTCAGAGTGTATTGAATTTTAGGTTTCCTTCTATTAGTGGTAACAGGAGGATGAAGATAGTGCTTCTTTTTGGAAATAATGCATGCATAAAAAATTGTACAATGTAAAGAATAAAAAGTCTAAGCAGTCCATATTTTTACACAAGTAAGAAAAAAGCCACAGCCGTAAAATTTGCAAGGATACAGTTATAGAAAACTTAAGTGTCCTTGAATCAGAAGAAACACAGGGAGGTATGCATCAGAAAGGAAGGTAAAGCAGCACCACAAATCAGACCCTGACACCTACAAGAAAACCTTCTACTCTTTGCTCTGATGAGGCAGAACCCACTAATGTTTGCAGAAAGCTTGATCTTTGAAGGCAAGTGTCTGCCTCCCGTGCTGCTGTCACTTGCCAGGCAAACACTTACTTTGAATGGACATATAATCACTGGGCTTAGTACTGATCTATTTCTGCACAGCCCCAGCTCAAAGATTAAACACAGTGCTCATCCTTGACACTGTCACCTTCTGCCTCCATTGCCCTGCAAACGGGGAACACTCCTTTTTCCCAACGCTGAACTAAACCTCAGCTCCTCTGTCATTCTATCATCCTGAGTGGGACCCAGAAGCTACCTGATCCTTGACTGTGTTGCTGAGCATCAGAAAGAAATGGTATTTATAGTTTGGCAAAATGAAATTGCAGCCATTTCCCTGAAATCTCAGTAATTATTAGGCAGAATCATGAACTGGAATATGATAATTCTGAGACCAGGTAATTTGTAATCAAAAAAGGTAAATTTTCTGTCTGCTGGTATTTCTAAAGCAGAGTTCTTTGAACCTGATGGAGGTGTATACCTAAGGACCGAGATGAATGTTCCCACTAGAAAACACCGCTAAAGTGGAATACAGTATGGCCATGTTGCAGACTAACTGACTGCGTTCATCCAGATCATTCCAACCTAGGCTAGTACCTTCAGGTGCTTCCAATGGTCTATACAGAACATCCTTTCCCACTCTGCTGAGACTCTACTAAGTTCTCTTAAGCAAAGGCAGCATCATTGCCTCAGGAAGTCCTTCTCATTAGGCCCAAGCAGATATGTGTGGCCTCAGAGCTGCCTTTCCCAGTAAGAAGGTCTTATCCCTAAAGGGTCTACTGAGTCTTGTAGATCTTTACCTTCTTATATCAGAGAATGACTATATCATGCAGGCACATGCATCCTACGTTTTGACTGAATGAACAGCCAGGGCTGATTGTTGGATAACTTTTAAGCATTTACTTACAATATATTCTCTTTCTCCTTCTAAACAGGATTAAGGTAGTTCCCCATGTGGACATTTATATCACTGTTATGAATAGTTGAAATAAAGCTAAATGAGGCAACACGTTGCATAAACCATAAAAATCTTAATACCCCCTAGTTTACTAATCCCCACCTCTGAAAATTCTCCCTGAGGGATTTATTCAATGGAAAACGCAAACAAATAATATTGAAAAATGCATATTATTTGTTAGACATAACAGAAGGTTCTGTCTAAACTGGGAAAATGTACACATCGAACAGCAAATCCAACTGTGAGATTTTATTAAGGAAATCATGGTCCATCAATAGGATGGGACGTTATGTAGTCATTAAAAATGATTATGTGTTTATATAACAGCATGTAAAATGTTTATGATGTGACATTAAGCTAACAAATCAGATCACCCTACGATCAGAACTATGCAAAATGTAATGTATCCACATTGGTATGTATAAATAGAGAACAAAAACCAGGCATAAAATAGTGCATTAAAAGAAGAAAGGTTCAAAACGTCTTATATTGCTGTTCACACTACTTCACAAGTTTATTTGGTTGAAAATAAACAACTTAGAAATCATGCTGTGATTTCTCCCCAGTAGATGGGATTCCTACTTGGTCAAGGGGATTGCAATGGACAAATTGGATTTTTCTTTCTGACAGCTATCAAGCCACCTAGAAGCTAATCTTTATTTTATATTGTTCTTTAGCTAAGTGCTTCGAAATTGGTTAAATACCCTGAAAACAGGTTCTCTATTGTTGCCATGAACTCTTGACCCACAGTCAGAAGTCTATAAAAATATTATTTTTGAAAATATTAAAATTGAAATCTATCAAATATATCTAATGCCTAAGAATAACTGCACTGTGTGGTCTTGTACATCCATCATTTTGACAGTGTTAGGAGAAAGGCTGATGTCTGGATAATATTTAAGCATTTACTTACAATGTGTTGTCTTTCTCCCTCCAAACAGGGTTTTAGTTAGTCCCTAAAACCCCCAAAGTTCCTGAAATCTTCTACTTCTCTTCTGCCTTCTTGGGTTCTTTAAATGTCTCCCTTTTGTTTCAACAACAGTCTTTCATCTGGTCTTATTGCAACTGTCTTAAAACTCTAAGGACTGAATGCCTTGTGGTCTCTTGATTATGGCCTGTTTTCATTGACACGAGCCCTTCCTGAATTCTGTTTCCTGCCTTCTTCCCCTTTTCAATCCTGGGAAGTCCTCTTCAGCTATCAGGAATCAACTCAAGATCTGCTCCTTTAAGCAGTGATTCACCACCCATTTTACTATCGCTGGATTTTCAGTTGAAGAGTGATTTTGCTTCTCATCACTCCTGGGACTTTACCTATATTTTAACTATTATAATAGGGGGATGCTAACCTATGCTAACTTATATATGAAGACAGTCTATGTGTTGTAAAACATCCTAGAAGGAGCTGGAACAGCCCCCTATGGTCAACAGTTAAGGGTGAGGAACCACCTTCTATTATAAGGATTTCTTAAATGAACTGTCCTGTGAATCTGGACTTCTATGTGCCCAGTACTCCATTTCTCACACTTTAGTCTTCCAGCTTTCACAATGAGCTGACCAGATAAGTAATTAGAACTCAGTGAAAAATGAATAAAAAATTAAGAAATGAATGAAAAAATTCCACTAAAGGATGTCTTTAAAAAACCAAAACATTTTCATGATCATCTGTGTGCCTTTATATTACCAACTTGTACATAATATGTACCACAGGGATCCACATTTTTACTATATTAATTTCACTTTTGATTGCTTTTCCTAGTGGGCATTGGGAACTCTGTGCTACAAGTTAAGGTGAATTTCCTCTTCCTTATTAAAAAACAGCCTACATATTTTTAAACCTAAATGTCAGTGCTTTGTAAAAGATTATTCCAGTACTTATAATAAACATAGAGAATTGGAGGAAAGTGCACAAATTAATCATATGCAGAGAGCTCATTTGCCATGTGTGAGCTTTACGGGGGTGATTTGAATGTTTCAGGGTTTTAGAAAACAGTATATGTTTATGCCCACTTTACATGCAACAACTTTCGCATTATGGACAATCCAATTATAGCAGCAGCAAAGGGTGAGAGGCAAGAATCGCTAATGTCAATATTCATGTGTCAGTGTCAGGCAGGAGGGCTAGTAACATCAATTAACAAAATAAGTTGACAGCTCAAGGCTACACACATTTCACACAGACACACAGAGGCAATACCAAGAGAAATAAGGCTCCTTCTTGTGGCCGATAATTAGGCTTCCTTGGTTATGACACTCATAGTCCCTAGTGGAGAGTTTTTGTAAGAATCCAAGCTTTACCTCAGTCTCTACACCCTCAAGATTCCTTGCTGTCTCAGGTCACCCTCTAACTTTTCTTTGCTGTATGTCCTCTATTTTTCCCCAGGTCCTTTGTATTTCAGTGAAAGATCAGCCTCCCAGGGTAACTCACTCCATGCTCCCTTGCTGACCAGACTCGCCTTACTCCATTTCTCTTCCTCTACAGCTACTAGCGTCTTTATCAACTTTTCAAATTAATTTTTTGTCAATGTTACAGTCCAATCCTTTCTATCACACCAAGAAGCTTAATATTCATGCTATAAAACCAAGAAGAAAATGAATGCTTGATTAAAACCAAGGTAATCCCCTCATCCAATTCACATTTAATGCTCAATACACTGTGATGACAGAGAGGTTGATTTCTCAAGTGGTGAATCAGGAGGGAAACTGCTTTAGAATGTACTGGAATTCTTTCTTCACTTGAAAGGGAATCTTATCTGACTTTCTGGCTCAGTTATTTCCAAAATGTCTTCAGAGGGAAGTTGTTCCGACATAGTCTGGTTTGAATTCCACATGTCACTATGTGACTGTGACTGAATCTTTCTGAATCTTGATCTCAAAATTAAGTTGGGATATTGTTGCTCATTGGAAGAATCTATTGGCCAATAGTACTGAGGACATATTAGATATACTAATATAAAACCAAGCAGTAAGCTCATGTTTGTAATTCATCACTGAAAGAGATGTGTGCTTGATGCTAATGTAACTGAATAAGGAGAAGGAATCATTAGTGTTATGGCTTAATTTTGGAAGAAAAATTTGAAAAGAAGATGGGTTCAAGTTTCACAGATGGTGGTACAGTGCAGCGAATCAGGGATGTTTGAAATAAAAGGGGGTCTGAACAATCTGTATTAACAGACTTAGTCTGGCAGACCTCAAGGAACTTGGGGCTGCTTTTTCAAACTCCAGGGAGGATCTAATTGTCTATTCTCTACCAGAGAATTGTGCCAAAACACAGAACAAACCAAAACTTTCAGACAGGCATCATCTGCCCTATAGGCCAGAACCTTCTGCAGCATAAGAAATGAAGACACTTCTGTAATCTCCCCATAGCTCGGCTAGCCCCTCGTCTCTCATATGCTCACCTCTTACCCATCACCCTCCTCCCACCTGGTTGCCTGGGCAGCACTGACATTTCTGGTTCTTCTAACTCACCTTTTTCAGCTTCACTACCCCTTCCTGTGTTTCATAGTCTGTTGTGATTTCAAATAAGTCCATGCCATCTCCGTCAACGATATTGTACGTGACTAAGCCATTTTCTCCAATGTCTGGGTCTTTGGCCTTCACTCTTCCTACTTCCTCTCCTGGGACAGCTGCTTCTGACACAGACATCTGGTATACGCCTGGAAGGAGAAACATCTAGCTTTATTTCCCTTTTTATTTGGCAGCTGTATGGCTTCTGATTTCATTGAATCCCAGTCAATTTCTCAAAGGGTTTAAAATTGAACTTTCTATTGGTTGAAAACATGAGAGAAATGAATGGATGGGAAGAAGATCCCAGATGGCCTGCTTGGCAAAAGAATGTGTTCTGTAAAGGATGACAGAACAATACTAGAGTCCTGGGTAAGGGTCACCTGCTACATGAGCACAATAGAAAAGTGTTCAGTTACATTTCTCAGCCCAGAGAATGGTGTAGAATCTGCAGACCTCCACACATGCAAACAGCCAAGTGTCCCTTTCCAATCTTCAGTATGACTCCCAAATACATTTCAAGACTAGCGTCTCATGCTTCTAATTGTTAAAAAAATGAAATAAAACAAAAATATATAAGCAAAACTGTCCCTCTATTTAAAAAAAATTTTGTAGCTCTGTACTTATTTTAGAGACAAACCCAAATCTTGTCTTTCAATGTTCTATAATTTCTAGCTCTATGTCTATCTGTCCTCTTAATTTATCTTCTTCTGACTAGGTCAAGCATGGAGTTCTCTAGAAGCTTTCCCACCTCCATATTTAGATCTATTTATACATATTGGAAAGCTAATAGGTGCCTCACACTGTTCTAGCTCTGAGACTCAGAAGGAAAGATGTATAATTCCTCCCTTAATGTGTACATGGGAAACAGAAAAGGAAATACAAATGCACATTTATGCACACGCTGATGTTATAAATTAAACAATAGAGTATATTAAGGGATAAAGTATAATGTAAATGTTGTTGTACAGAGGTTTTTTTAGTGTGTGTTTATGTATGTGTATGTATGTATGTTGGGTGTATATAAGGGACTGTCTGAGTTGACTTAGTGTGGAATTCTGTGTGTAGCTATGGTGTACACGACTGAGTGTGTGTAAGAAAGTGATAAATACACACAAACATATGTGCATGTTTGTCTATGTGGATGATTGTGAGCAGATACCTACCACTGTTAAGTATGTGAGTGAGACAGAGAATGGGATTAATTATGGACAGGGTGGTGAGAGAAAAACTTTCTTTAAAAGAAATCTGAACTCCACTAAAGAAACTAGACAAGACAGGTGTGTAAACACATAGGGAACAAGTGTCACAGGTACACTAACAATAAATATCAGAGAACCTCGGGTGAGACCATCCCAAAAATATATAGAATAGCATCCTAAAAATATACAGATCCTCAGGTGAGACCATCCTAAAAATATACAGAATAGCAAACGACATTTGTTTTGATTAAATCTTGGGGAAACCACTGGTTAGTTTTCAGTAGGACAGTGAGAGTTGACACTATAATATTACATTTACAGAATTTAAAAGTTCTGTGTGAGGGCCGGAGAGCTAGCTTACTGATCGCCTCCCAGAATTTAAAGGGAAGACCCTACTTGAAGATGCACGCTTTGGACACAAGACTGGGAGCAACTGAACTGGAGCTGAACTGGAAGCTCCTCCTCAAAACCAGCTCTCATAGTATGCAAGCTGCCAAGAAAGAAAATTATCAGTGGTCCTAACCAGCTGTAAAGCCTATGAATCACAATGATGTCCAGCACAGCAAAGTGTCTCTATTGATGCCATAGTGGCATGTTTATCTTGAAAGTAATCAACAGCTGTCTAATTAGACTTAAAGCTCACTCAACAGGAAGGAATTCATGCACGGTACTGTGACACATAGCTGAGAATACATGGTTGGAAAGGTCATAGACCCTAGAAAAGAACCTACTTCTGTCACTTTCCTAGGCCAACATCATTTCTTACAACGTTTAAAAATGTATCCTCATAGTTACAGACAAGTGTACCTTTCATCACGTGTCAAAGAAGCTTCTTTGCAGCAGATGGAGATTATTACAAAGTTCTATAACTGGATAAAATACAGAGACTAATTGACTGTGAGGTGCCCAACCCTAAGTGATATATCTACAACACAGCCTCTGTACCTAAGGCTCAAGGAGCATCTTATAAGAGGGGAGAGAGATTGTAAGAGCCAGGGACAAGACATCTTCCGCTCGTTAATTATTCTAGACATGATAGGAAGCTACACCAATGAAATGTCCACCATTTGGTAGTCTAACAAGATCTGTATGATGACAAAACCAGTTGACAAGCCAAGGTGGATGGGGGAAATTTCAGGGATTCCACCTCTAGATGAAGAGCTACAGGAAACCAATGGATATTGAAGGAGGGAGGATCAATTTTCTCCAGGGACTAGCTCCCTGAGAGGCTACCTAAAACCTAGCAGGCAGCCTTGAACACAAGTACACATGAGCACAACTAAATGGCCTCAGTGCATTGTGTGTGTGTGTGTGTGTGTGTGTGTGTGTGTGTGTGTGTGTAAAACAATAATAATCAAAGAAGAGGATAAGAAATTGAGAGGGAGTTGGGGGTGATATGGAAGGAGTTGGAGGGTGGCTGTGAGAGTTAAAAATAATGCAAATATAGTACTTATGTACGAAATTTTCAAAAAATAAGATGAAATATTTTAAAAGCATGGATTGCTCTTGCAGAGACAGTTCAACTTCCAACACCCACATAAGGCAGCTCACAACCTCTTGCTACTCCAGCACCTGGGAATTGTATGCCCTCTTCTGACCACCACAAGCACTGCACTCATGTGCACAAATCCACAACTACATATACACATACATACATAGCTGAAAGCAAGAATAAAATAAATTTTAAGGGTAATCAATCTAAGTCACAATATAGAAAGGTCTGGGCTGGAAACCGAACTTCTAGCACTCAGCCAGGTGGCACTGGGAACATTCCTTAACCTCTTCAGCTTCTGTTTCCTCTCATGGAGCATCTGTGGGTTGTACTACTCTGTCTATAGTTGTACAATTTAGATTTGGGTTTTGTTGCATTTCACACATTCTCTACTTAATCTCAAATTCCTTTATCTTGAATTCCTTTTGTATTAAAAGCATAGTGGGAATGTCTCTCTATTGATACGTATTAGTGTAAGGGAAGGTTTAGAAGACCCCTTAAAGGTAAAGATTTTCTCCAAATTTTATTCAAGTTCGTGACTATGAACCTGGTAAAACTGGACTGGTAGTGATAAAACTTTACCATATGATTCCTTACAAGAAAAGGCATTAATGGAATAATGCTGGTTGTCCCTTTACTTTTGGTATACCAAAAATTGTACTTTGTGAGAACAGAGCACACAATTTTGACAATGTTAAATGAATCTCAATCTTACCAAGATACCAAAATTTTACTCTTACCAGGCAAACCAATTTCCCTCCAATTCTTTTTAAATCCTCTAAGAGATAATATTTGTCTCATGGTCCTCTACTTACGTATTTCCTTTCTGTAGTTTGTTAGCTTTGGATTCCTTTGAATAATCATGGTGTCTTCTGGGGACCGTACTTTGTTACTGTCTCTGTTTTATTATAATTATCTATTTTTTTTTATTATTTATGTGTATGTGTATGTCTGTGTGACTGTATGTCACATGTGGACAGCTACCCAGGGAGACCAGAAGAGAGCATTGGATACCCTGGAGCTGGAGTACAGGTGGCTGTTAGTCATTTGATGTGGGTACTGGTAACTGAGCTTGCCTCTTCTGGAAGAGCAGTATGCACTCTTAACCTCTGTGCCATCACCCTGCCCCAGCTTCCATATTCTCCTTTGCAAAATATGTCTGATAAAAAACTCATAGGCACTATTGAAAAAGATGTTGTCATCGTGACTGCCCTCCCGTTCCCACTAGCCCTAGTGTCATAATCATAGACTAATACCTTTGTACTTACCTCTTTGTACATATACAGGTTTACGTTAAATTCTGGCTTTCATATATTCTTTAGGTCACATATGGTGCTTTCGATGGAAGCCAGTTTTATCCATAAATTGTAAGCTTTTGTAGAAATTCATAATACTAAAGTCCAGTAAATAATGGTGTGACTACATGTAATTATATATATATATATATATATATATATATGTGTGTGTGTGTGTGTGTGTGTG